TACGTACGTTTGCAGCGACGATGATTAGGTGCGCGCGAGTTGCGCTGCACACGCGACTCACGTAACGCCCGTTAAATGACCACGAAGAAACGCGTTTCCTCCTTCAACGCAGGATGAGCGCTCGACGATAGTTTCGTTTGATCGCCTGACGGCGACGGCGTATCCGCGAGCGAATTAAATCCGTTTAAACCGCATTATTCCTTTAGAAGCGTACGCGATAAATGCGTTTGTTACAAAAACTCGTCAGCGGCTATGTCGCGACGGGAGCAAGGGTGGGACGACGCGAGGAAGGGAAGTACAGAAAGAAGGGAATGGGGGGAGGGGGGAAGAGAGAGAGAGAAAGAACGCGCGCGCACGCTGCGTCGGAATCGCATCAGAGTGGAGATTGAACGAATGACACCGTGAGCAAATTTCCGCGATCGGTGGAACGGCGAAAGCGAGCGTCACCCTCAAAGAGCGTCCGGCAATTAATTTTACAAGGGCGCAAAAGGAAGCAAAAAGTAAACAGCTCGGCGCGCATCCCGGGTCCATCGTCGCGACGATGGGTTTTATATCTCCGCTAGTTGTCAGGCCAACGAGTTCTGCCTCGTTGGCCACCGCGTATAATGTCCACCGTCAATATAAGCTGTCGGATGCTTTTTCCTAAATTGACAGATTTTCAATTTAATCAAGTTCCAATCTAATGGAAAAATGCCCGATCTATCGGTCGCGCGAGTAGGTGCTCGCCGAAGTGTGGGTGCGTACGTATGTGTGCGTGCATGTATGCGCGTGTGTGTGTGTGTCGACGGGGGTGGCGTACACACATTGGTAGAACGTATGGCCGGCACGCGGAGGGGCCAGATTGAAATAATACTTTTATGTTTAATCGCAATCGAGGAGTCTACCCGGCGACGACGCGGAACCACCCGCCGATCTCCGAGATTAATCTATTGATAAACATTCCATCACTCCGCGAAATACCAAGCGAGAGAAATAGACGAGCCATCGCGCGAACGATAGAATATCTCGGCGTTTTACTCTTTTTACTTCTTTCACCTTTTTTCATTCCCCTCTGTGCCTCCCGTTCCCACGTTCGTCGTTCTGACCGCATTGCTTTACGGACGGTCGCTCGTCAAACGTTCGTTTTTTATTAGCTAAATCTTTTGCGACTGCCAAGTATTATCATGCGTCATAAAACCGTGGATTTTCCAATGGACGCGCAATCCCTCATTTTCCTCCCTATGCCTTCTGGATCTCGCTCGGATTGACCGCGAGGTGCGATTCGTTTACATTGGTCTGGTGTTACATTATTAAAAGTATTTTCTCTCAAATTAGGGGGGGGGGGTCGATCAATTCTCGTTATATGACGGTGCCCGCTGCGTTGCCATCGTCATCCTCGTCGTCGTCGTCGTCGGCTTATTACAAGTCCGAGAACGTTGTTACATCGAGTATAAATCGTAATGCGACGCGATAAGCGGATTCTTTACGGTCGATCAAAGTGCAGGCATCTCGCGCGTCAAAAGCCGAGTGCCGCGGCGCGACTACGACGACGATTTCTCTCGCCGTTGGATTCTAATCGGCGAGAACTGCTGCGGGTGCCGTGCGGGCGCAACAATAATCATAATAATTGTGAAATTTGATCGAAATGCAATCGAGTCGGTGAAATGAGCCACCGAGGTAATGAGATCCGATCCATCGGCGGGGACGGGGCGTTCGCGGCTCTCCTGAATCGTTTGCCTTCAATCACTTTCTTGACAGATGCATTTACGGCCGGGACTGGTGGCCATCAAGCTGGAATGCGCTTTAAGGCTGGTTATACGGCGTATCGATCCATCGGGACGGTCAACGTGCCGGATTCAGCTACGAGAAATTTGCGTCTTCGGGTTCGAGAGGGTCTCTGGATAGGGTCGCTGCTTCTGTGGCAAAGCTGGAGATGGTTTGGCGGCTTCTCTCGTGTGACCGGCGAAATCTTCGGGGCCACGAGTGGAGGAGTATTCGTGACGGCGCATCCGTTGGGCGTTTAACGATTTCCGACCCGCAAATGTGTCCGTGAGATGCGCGGATATTTGCATATAGATGCACATTACTGCGGTTCTCGCGGATGTAAAGGGTGCCTGATCCGTTAGCACTTCTCCGAATCGTCGCGTAATGTTCGTATTTTTATACAGATCCGCCGTGAAATCGAGGGGAGGGGCGGTAAGTAAAGAGCGAACCGTCGCACATTTTCTTCGCTAGTAATTAGAACGTGTCGCATATATCTATATCTCAACTATCTTCGACATCTTTGCACTTCTTTCAGTGGATCTCTTGGATCCCTACAGCCTATTTTGACTCATAATTGAAAACTTACGACATTATCGCGGTCAACATAGGAACTGTATTATTAGAACTGTACCTACTTTGTTATCTTAGTTGCAACTGTCGTCATAGAATGAATGGTTTAACGTTAGGGCCAAGTCGGGCGCGCGCGAGATTGATTCCCACCTCGAACTCGTCCGAGGAAACTGACAGCTTTTCGACATTACGCTCGGCGAATTACGCGGGCGCATCGGGACGATGATCGATCGCTTCGTCGTTGTCGTCGCAGGTGGAGGATTGCTACTTCTCTCGTCGGCGCGCGTCTCGCGGAAACGCGCGGACGGGCATTATTATCCGCGTCCCGCTACGTACACCGGATCTTCTCTTTTTGCGCCGGCCGGGCGGGATAAAACGTTCTGGTTCTTTTACGCGTAAATTGCACGCTCCCTTCTCAGACGCGCGCGTCGAGCATTAAGTCCGTGCGTGAAGTCCGGCGTGGATCCCGGTGTTTGCCGAGGGGATAATAGTGTAATGGATGGACAGGGACAACGAGCCTGCCGACTGGCGAGACTGCCGTTTTCGAGAGTCTAGTGTCCGGCTGTCGTCGCGTCTAGTTCACGCGGTTCTTCTCCTTTGTCGTTTAATTGCCGTCTTCATTGTCGAATTCTTCGTAGCGTTCTAATTGCCGGGGCGGGGAACAATACGCGGTCGCGTTCTCCCGCAAATTAAAGTTCGTGTGGCGATGGATCAACGTGACTGCGATTAATTGCATCATTATCAATAGACTGGTTTTCGCGTGACACCAGAAATTCTCAACTCGCGACGCGCTCGCTCGTGCCGTCCGCTCGGTCGAGACCCGTGAAGTCCTGCGACATGCTGGATTCGCAATATGGAAAACTCAGTGTTCTTGAAATTAATAAGAGGCGATTTCGCGGGGAACGTATCGGCGAGATAAGTGAGAGTTAATTGTCCCAAAAGGAAAGTAGACACGTTTGACGGCTAGTAATCCCCGGGCGCTTGTTTGCTGAAGTTTCCCTACTGGCTAGTCCGATGTGCAAGCATCGACAAAACTGGTCCCCGTTCATCGAAGCTAGTACGTAAGCTACGTGCAAATATTTTCCGCTTTACGATCGCGGCTTGAGAAAGAGAGGGGAGAGAGGGGCGGGGAGAGAGAGAGAGAGAGAAAAGTCAGGATTCACCTCGTAATACTTTACCGCCTCGTTCTAACGACTTTCAACTACCGTGCCGCCGCCGCCGCTGCTTACAACTAATTTCGCTACACGAAAAATAATTAACGACGGGCTTATCGGTTTCATTAATAAGTTTTTGCTCACCTCCGTCCGCAATCTCGCCGATCGAAGAGGTCCCTCGTAATCTCCGTATCGCGAATCTTGTTATCGCGTTTCTTCGCGGCGCGCTCGCTCGCTCGCGCGGCAAGTTGCGCGTTACAAATATCGATAAATTCACGTAACGTTAGGAGCGGCGTAATCATAATGGACGGCGCAATCAAAGTGGGTCTGTTTGCGACTAATGTATAGACGAGTGATCGCTCCGTGCGCGCTGAAAATTGCTAATCGAACCGAGTCGAATGCGAGGGGCGAGCCGACGAGGTACGCCGGTGGTTAACTTTATTCCATTGACGGAACGCGGAAGTTGCCTTTCGTTGTTGCAATGCTTAAGCAAATGTCGTATGTGCAAAGAGGAGCGCGTACCGTTGCGCGGACCGTTAGAAACTTTGCCATTCTACCGCGTCGATTTTCCCACGGCTTTCGCCGTAACGGGTGCAACCTCACCGCCAATTTCTAGTAACAAGGAGAATGAGACGTTACGTCTTGCGTTATATGAATACGCGAACGTTGCGCAATCGCGTCTCGCGATATCGCTCGCCCCCTCCCTCCCCCTCCCCCCCCGGTTTCTCGATCGTTGCTCGATTGGCGCCGAAAATCGGCGCGCGTTACGAAACCGCGCCCCTCTCTTTATCTCTCTTCCTCTATCTTCCTTTCTCTCTCTCTCTCTCTCTCTTTCTCTCTCCGAAAGTTTCGCCGTCGTAGATCGCGTAGAGGAAGACGCAATTACGCAATCCGAACGAGCCGAGAGAGAGAGAGAGAGAGAGAAATGGCGTGGCGTCGACCGCTTTATCCCTTCATGGAGATGTCGACGATCGACGCGCTTTGTTTTGTACGTTAATCGTATACAGGTCAGAGGGACCATTGGCCGATTTAGGTTGAGATGCGGCGTGGCGTAGCTACTTAACCGCACAATTGGTTGTCATTGACACACAAAACCGTCCGGTAACAAGTATGACGATCGCGCCAGCCGTCGTCGGCGCACTTTATTGCTTCATCCAAACGAGCAAGTAGAGCGGCCGCTTGAGATCGCTAACTGGCATAAGTAGCCCATCGGCATCTTGCGAAGTAATTAACCGCGCTCAAGCTGAAATATAATATCACGCCCAAGCTGCTTCGCGCATCCTCCGCGTGTTCGCTCGCGCGTTCTCTCGCGGGAGACGTTGGAGTCTCGCCGACGGGCGATTTCCGCCTTTGGCGTCGTCAGGACAAAACTTCTCGGAAACGAACAACCGAAAGCAGTTAGCCGATTTCCGATATCACTAATGTGTATAAGAGAAAAAGAGAGAGAAAGAGAGAAATTGGGAGGGAGCGGGAAAGGAAGGGAAAAGGGTGGGGGAGAGAGAGAGAGAGAGAGAGAGAGATTTGTGCGCTTACCTCGCTCTTGAGATTCAATGGCACATCGCAGGGGGCGTCCAGCTCTGCCTCCGCTTTCACCTGATGAGACAGCATACTGTGGCTGTGCCGGGGCGGTACGGCGGTCGCCAGCATGTTGGAATGCTGTAGATGCTGAAGACGAGGCTGGAGATGGGGCTGGTGGTGATAAGGCGGCGACAATTGGGTGTTCAGAGTGCGAAGATCAGCTGGCGGGGAAGCGGGCGCAGCGGTACTGCTCTGTTCCTCCTCGGCCGAACCCTCCGCCATGTCAGCCTTGCATCCCGGGGACTCGTAATCTGCAAATCGACCAAAACTCTCAGAGGACCGTTCTAATAGCGGCCGCCGCGCAGCCTCCGGCACGACGCAATCCCATTATGGCGCGAATATTATTCGCGGCGTTTCGATCGTCAATAATGCGAAACGATTGCTACACGCTAACGACAACACCGCGACCCCGTATTTTCGGATTGACGTCATCTTATAAATACGAATCGCGTCGGACACCAGCGGAAACATGCGCGCGCGCGCGCGCGAATTTTAGCTTGATAAACGCCGGGCAATAGTCGTCGAATGATAATCCGTGTTTTGCGCGAGGCTAAATCGAAGATAACGAGACGATTCCTCCTTCGGTAGTTCTCTTTTCAAGTAAAAGTTTTCATTAAAAGAAAAAAATCGAATGGATGAATGAATAGAATAGGAGGAAGAAAAGAGGACTTTGTTGAGCGACCTCCCTCCCCCCCCCCCTTTCGGGCCTCCTTACATATAATATATAAACACGTTATTAATTAAACCGGTGTGTGGCGGGACGCCCGGTACCGCGCCAGCCGTATCGAACGGCAGCGCGTGCAGCTGTTAAGAATGCAGACACTGGAAATTAGAAGGAGAGCCCGTTCATCTTCCGACTTCAAAGCAAAAACATTTGGTCGGCGCATCGCGTCGGGTTATAGAGGAGGCGCGATGCGACGCGGGAGAGAGAAAGAGAGACGCCAAGGACGAGAGGAGAGGAGACGGCGTTCGAGAATAAAATCGCTGGCTAACACGCTCCTCCGCAGGCATCCCGCGTTTATCCGCCTAATTATTTTTATCTAAGCGTTCAGTTAGTAAGAATTCAAGGGCAATGAAATCGCTGCCGTCTGGACACGCCGAGTCGTTCTCTGTTCGCATCTTCTCCCTCCAGCGCCGCCGCCGACGTCGTCGTCGCCACCGCAGCCGCCCGCTTCGTCGCGCCGCGGCCGCCGTCGTATACTTGCTGAACGCAACTAATAACATCTGCTTCTATTTTTGCGCTGGCCCGAGTCCAGCGCTTTACTTTTTAAAAGCCGCGCGCGCCTATGACGAACGGCTGGATGGATCATCGAGCGGAAGCCCGGGCGTGGGGGGAGGGCCGGCAGTGAAACGAGCCGGTTATTCTGGACAAATTATTGTCAAAGGGCGAGAAAACACCTTTCTGCCTGCGAGCTACTTTGTTCCTCATAAAAGGCGTTTTATAATGGCCATCGTAAAAATATTTGATGCCACGGTTTAAAACGGCGGCGGTGTTTATAATAAAAGCGCCAGGTCGTTGGGTACCAAATAGACCGCTCGCAAGTGCAAACCCCGGTGTTAATGTCGGCCGTCTCTTGTGAAATACGGGTGTCCTGATACGCGCGTCCGTCACGACATGATAACTCGGATTCGGCGAGGGTGTCGCGCGAGGCGCAGCTCTCTCTCTCTCTCTCTCTCCCCGCGAGACGTCGCCGCGCGAGGATCGGCTCGATCATTCTCGCGCGTCTTTTTCCGGCGAATACGCACACACCGCCGCCTGATCGTGATGGCTGTGAACTCACGGTGATTTATGCCGTGCCCCTGGGGCCAAGAAGTGAAAAAAATGAGCGAGATTTATCTTTGGGTACGAAAACGACATTGTCCACCTGTTCACGCATCATTTTGCCGTTACGTTTTCCGCTCTTGAGGTCTTCCTCTCGTTGCTTGAAATATCTAAGAATTTGATACAACGGCGACTGGTAAATTCTTCTTTTTCCTGTTACCGCAAAAAAATCTCTTCTAAACTCTTTTCTGTCGTGTCGTAATAACGGGACAGATCATTGTCGAAGGACGACGGATTATTATTATCCTACTCTAACGAGCGCCGTGTTTGTCTGAAATCAATTAAAACGGCGAAATAAACTGACGTAACGATGCAATGACCGCGAGCAGTCGAAGAGATCGCAATGATCATCGCTGCGAGGCATTAATTTACGCATTGCACAATGAAGAGGAGCTTTGCTAATTAAGCTGATTAACAAGCATTATTCGATCTTTGTGTGTCACGGGAGCGAATGGCGATAAACGGATCCAAGGTGAATTCTCGTCCGTCTCAAAAAGCCAAATTATCGTACGGTAATTCGATCCATGGGCATCATACATCGCGGAGCGAAACGTGCTGTGCGCGAGAACGTGGCCGAGATTGCCGATCCCGGCGCGACGGTTCCTTCGCAAAAATCTCTCCGGGCTGTTCAATCCCCCGAACGTCTTTTCCGCCCTCGGAGCGGACTGTGTGCATGCCGTCTTTTTTTCCGTTTGCAGTCATTAATTTCCGTCGGAATCATATTAATCGCTCTAGGGCTGCGCCCGTGAAATTACTAGACGCTTTAACCACCGGCTGTCCAAACCGAATTCGTCCGCAGCGATTATTATATCGCGTCCTGAGGTCTAATGCCGGGTATTCCGAAAGCTAGCCAATTAGTATCGTCGATTTGGATGCTTTAATGAGAGTGCGGTTTCATTAGCGTATCGCATCGCCCTCACGGGTTCGTGAAATAGAAGAGGAATTCTTAACTGGACGAAGATATCGCGAGTGATTATAGCGCGATCGTTCAAACGTCACCACAGCCGGCCGTGTCTGAAAATTGGTACCTTCGTCGTGCGACCTCGAAAAAAATGCGCTCTTCACGATCGAGATCATATAAGTCTTTCGCGAAAGGGAAGAGACTACCCGGAGGGGGGGCTCTTCTTCTGCTCGGTATTCGATGCGATATCAAAATATTTCAACATTTCTGTATCTGTATTTCTACGTTCCCAACCGATCTCTTTTCGATTTCCTCGATTGACCTCTCTCTCTCTCTCTCTCTCTCTTGTTACATGTACATTGTTCTGTTTTCCGTTTTATACAAGGGAACAAGTATTTTACCGTGTTGAGGTCTGCGAACGCTCGTCAATGCTTCGACGTAATTATTTATTTGTGCCTAAACACAGAACTAATTGCTTTTATAATTCTTTTTTAGTTAGATGGTAATTACGAATTGTAATTCGTTGCCCTCGGCTCTTCAAAAGTTATCGCTAGTATCGTTTAAATCAGCAAGCTATAGTCATTAACTTAAATTACAAAGCGCTAGTTCTTCATCAATAACATGCTCATCTCACTCAGCGTTAGTTCATTATCATCATTGTCGTTTTGTGATATATCACTGTATATCATCAACTTTTACTTCATAACCATGTATTTTTCTTTTATTGATTCTTTCTGTCTGTTCTTCCAAATCGTACGTTTCTATTTTCCTCGTTTATTACGACTTTCTGTATTCGTGTCATGTATTATCATACATTAATCTGAAATGTTGCTCTTACAGAATGAATCCTAGAACATAAAATTGATTCCATCTTATTCTCTCTCTCGGTACACGATCGAGGTGTGTCCTTCAGGACGCGACGGAATAAATCTCGTCGTCGCCGCCTCCTCTTTCACCGGCCGCCATTGCGGCGTCCTGCAACTTCTTCGATGATAATCGCCTGCTTGCTGGGATAAACGGTGAAAGTCCGCGCGATAGGATTAATACGCCGGAGCGATTGATATGAGAATCACTCGAGGATCTCCGGAGGCAATTAAAACACGCGAGTTACGCGCGACGCTGTCGTCCGGCGAGGCGCGATGCGACGTATTCGCATATATACCTACCGCGTGAGCCGAAGATCTTCCCCAGGAGTGGAGAAGTCCATCCACCCTCCGGGTGTACCTCCGGGCGACACCCGCCGTTTCCTGATTTTGTCGTGTTCCCTTACATTTCTCCCTTTTTCTCACGCCAGTCAACCCGCGTCTTTCTTCCGCGTCGTCCTCTTAGCCCGCGGCGCGATTTCGCATTATAGTTCCACAGCCGTCTTCACCGACGACGACGACGACGACATGGAGGCAGCGGCAGCGTGCAATTAAGGGGTTGATTGATGTTAATTCAAAGGGTAATTAAGAATGTTGCGCATAAAAATCCGGTAATTTATGGTCATTGAGGATAATTATATGTTGACCAGCTTGTAATTGCAAGCACTCCGTGGCCTATACCGCGCCGTATACGCGTCCAAGAATTGCGGGTAGCTACCTAGTGCGCCGACACTAGTGTTGGTGGTGGGTCGTTTGTGCGTGTATGCGCGCATTCACGAGCGGGCTCCTCGGAGCGTGTGCGGGCGGGGATATACGGTCTCAGATCGCGGCTTATTATAGGGGCCAGTAGATAAGGTGGGTTTAGAAACAACCGGGCGCCTCTGGCCAGCAGCTAGTTTCTACGTAACGCCGACATTCTCCTCTCTTGGTACAACGCCGCTCGGGGCTATGGAGGTGTGTATAAACCACCTAGGCGCTGGAGCTCCAAGGCGATTGCGATTTACGAGGCCGATTCTCCCGACCGTCAAGACGGCGGTTTTAGAATTCTAGGCCCGGTCCATTTCGCTCGGTGTGGCGCGACGCGCAGATCAGCGGCGCTGCGTGTTTGGGGTGCCCCGTGCGGTGCTCAAGTCGTGGGCTATAAATAAACGGCCGCGGATAATCGCCATATGGCCGCGCTTGCAGCCGAACCACTGACCGTTTCTTCGTAGCCGCATGACGACGCTCGCACTCGATTTCCTGGTACGAATTCCCGAAGCGACGATGACGACGATGACGCGGGGGTGATCGAAGTGTACAATTCGTTTCCGCTGAGCTGTAATTCCGATCGAAATAACGAACGGACTTATTGAAAATACGGGCAGGGAGGGGATCCCGACGATTCGGTGCAGCCGGGAGGGCGAACAACAACAAGGTGAATATAAGCCGTGTGGCGTGGTTAACCCTCCTACTTAAAACACACAGCCGATAAAACGATCCCAGCGGGAGCAGTTGGCAACCGCCCATCGCGATATTGTCCTTGCTTCTTTTTTATGATTATTTTTGTTTTCTTCACGATCTCCCGTAATCGACCTAATGGCAACGCATAATTGCGGCTTTATGGCGTCTAACCGAGCATTACCGGTAAAGAGAAGTAGGAAAGAAACTCGGGCGCGTCGCGGACGTGCTCGTGTACGGTCGATCCGGATTACCCGATGCCGGTGCCCCGCCGCCGGTTTGCTACGATCGAGCGGTAAATGCAAAATAATAAGCGCGCGATAGATTAAACCGCTTCTCATGCCACCCTTCTATATACCGGGGCCTCGTCTCGCCGGCACGAGCGGGCATAATTAAGGCGAGCGCACAAAGAATCCACCGCCGCATCCGTGTTGGTTAATTCGCATCGACCTTTAACTCGCGTACATACATAGGCATATCGGCTAAGGTAATGGCCGTTTCGTGCGATACCATTCTGTCAGAAATCCGAGGGGCTTTGTCCCGAGTCACGAAACGCAAGGATTAAACTGAACAGCGCGTCGTTAATGCGACTGTGCGAACGCCGAGGCGTCGAGACCGCCGCCGCTGCTCCGGCTTTCCGTGTGTGTGTGTGCGTGCGTAAGAGCGTGCGCGTAACGCGTGCACCGGAGAGCGCGCGAGAGTGCCCATAAATCGGCGCCGAAGGGGTTCGGCATCAACGCGCGTTACCCAAGACGCGATATTTTACGCCCTTGTCGGAATTCTCTACCAAACATTTTGCATTATTCCGGGGAAATTCTTTTTCGAGACGACGGTAATCGAAGGCTAATCCCGTGCGCGGGAATGAGTTCAGCGCACGAAAATAAAATTGTATACTCGAAAAGCTTCTGACGCGCGCGCACGGTGACGAGCGACTCTCTCTCTCTCTTTCTCTCTTCTGTATTAGCTCGTGTCACTTTAGTTAGAAACGCGATTGCGACTGTTTTATTCAAGGGATGGTATTCTGACCGTCCTGATATCGCGTCTTACACGAATTCGATAAAAACTGTCACTTTAACGGTGAAACTTGGCACACCGTTCGCCCGTGAGCGAACGGAACAGCGAGCGTAATAGCTTCTCGTGCAGCGTATCCTCGCGGAGGCGCAGGAAGAATATTTCATGTTTTACGGCGCCAGCGTCGTTGGGGTTTCGCCGGATAAAAAAAGTGTCAGCTCTCGCCGGCTAAATCAGAGCTCCGAGTGCATTAAACTCCGAATTACCACAAATAGAACTTTAACCGCACATGCCCATTATAATGGCACCCCCCGCTGAAGATGTATTTACGTACTAAACCGCCTTCGTGGCTCACGCTGAGTCGTTGGAATTAACATCTGGCCCAAAAACGTGCCGCTCGGTTCATTGGACCCCCTTTTTTTTCTCCTTCTTATGAGCGTACTAACCGTTTCATCACAAGTGCTCTCGATTATTCGCGGAACGATGCCCGCTACCGTTCGATCCTGCTGCAAGCTCCTAGCCGTCCCGTTATTAAGAGGCGAATTAATCTCTAGCGCATTTTTTTAGCGCAGTAAGAGAGAGAGAGAGAGAGTGAGAAACGGATTTTTCGCCGGGTAGGAGAACAACTTTGTTCCTCTCTGTGGAAACGAAGACCAGATTTCTTACCGTCCGAAAATTACAATACGACCTCGAGAGATGTAGATATATACGTCCAAGAAAAATTACGTGGATGCGTGAATCATTCGAGGAATCATCTAAGGCTCTCTCCCCGATTCGCATTTTTTTTTTCTTCTCCTGGGAAAAGTAACTCTGCTAGCGTGTTGGAGACAGAGTAATTTTGAAAGTGGTTTTACATGCAAATTAGGTCTATTAAAATATCAGAATATAGCTTACACAGCATATAAAAACGCGAGTGCCAGGGCGGCTCTCTATCCGTCAAATCATAAGCCGCTCCGAGCTATTACGTGCGTGCGTGTTTCTTCATGAATTATTAGAATTAATGAGTTCGCACACATTCCTTCCTTCCACAATTTTACGCAGGCCGAACATAATGTGTGCGGCGAGGGGAAATTTTAGAGTAACAAAGAGTTCGCCTCGCTGCTTCTTTTTTTATTTCCCTTTGCGTCGCGACGTTCATTAAGCCGCTAATAAGCCGCTATTAAGTCCCATAGTCGCAAAATAATAACGTAATCAACGCAAACGGCACGACTCCACATGACGCGTCGTGAAATTTTCTCGACGGTCGTCCCGTCATCGATCAAGCGTCGCGGTGAATTCGCGTGAATGAGTGATCCGATTTTTTCTCTCTCTCTCTCTCCCTCCTTGTGGCGTGCCACGGGGCATACCGGCGCGCGCGAGAGAAAGATTAAAAAAAAATACTCCGTAGTGCACTTTCAGTAACACGAGTAGCAAATAACCGGCATCATTAGATCGTAGCGTGCGCGAGAAACGGCGCCTTACACTTGACACAGCGAATCCGCAGCGGCGAAACTTTCTTGCCTGCGGGGATTTCCGGGTCGATAATCGATGAAGATTCTCGGACGGAAAACAGAACATAGCGTGGCTAAAGCGAGCTGGAAGTGGGTAAGTTGTAGAACGAAATGTTATCGTGCGCCGGATTGTCGGCAGGGGTTGAACCGGCTGAAGGGGAAGCCTTGAATGGGGAAGCCGACGGGAAGGGGTACGAGGGTGGCGAGAATAAGGGAGAAAGAGGGAGAGGGAAGGGAGATCGAGAGGGAGCGAGAAAGGGCGAGCGCGGAGGGCTGAGGCGATATAAGAAGGGGATGCGTCGATTCGTTTTCTTGACCTCGACAACAAGCGCGTTGATTTTATGTTTGGCCGTTTCTCTCCCGAATCAATCGGCAGCGCCCTCGACGTACCGATCCCCCTTTTCCGACAATAAGTAACGTTCAATACAGCTCGATCGCGTCTCGTCCGTTCGATCCTCGGGATCGATTCGCTAATATCGATCGGTGCGGGATTACATACTTTCCCGCGGTTATCCGAAGAAATTTGTCCAAAGGCGTAACAAACATCTCGCAACGGTTTCATTGAAATTCGGCCGTCGTTCAGCCGAGTCGAGGCGAAGCATCTCCGCTCTCCTTTGTGTCAACTCCGAAGCGCCTACCCCAACGATATCGCGAGTCAAGTGTTTCCTTTGGGATTTTCTGCTTTCAGCTCTCCGCGCGTTTATCCCCACCGACGACGAGTTCGCTCGGCCGCAACTTGGAGCGTCTCGCTTCCACTTGCGGGCGTTAGAACTCTCCCTGCTCCTCCCTGCCGCCCTTCCGGCTCCTCCGACCCTCTCTTTCACCTACCCTCCGTGTTCCCGAGGCGGCGAGCAAAGAACTCTCCTACCCTCGGGCAGCTCACACTGATTTTCCACCCTCGTCACCCGTCCCGTCCACCACCGCGACCCCCTCTTCCTCTACCTCTGCCTCCTCTCCACCCCCGAGCTCACGCCGTCACTCGTAGTCACGCCGCCAACACGTGCTCCTGTTTACCTCTCCAGTCATATGGTCCGGGAGATGACGCGACGCATTCAACGACGTCGTCGTCGTTTAATCACAAAAATATCCGTCGGCATATCTATATCGGGGCGGACCTTTCCTTTCTTTTATTCACGCGACGTTGATGGTGCGTGCGTGATCTTTGATAGAAATATTGCTTCGGAGAAGACCAGCGCAGGTATACGCGTGTAATAATCAAGGATAACGATGCAAATCCTATTGCGATACCGAACATTATTTATGAGCCATTAACACGTCAGTCTTTGGATTTTATTTCGGTCTCTTCTCTGCAAACTCCGATCGTCCATTTTAGATAGCGCGCTCTGGCGTAACGCTGTACTCCGGTTGCAGATATTGTTCTTTATATATATTATGCAAGATGAATTATTTTCTCGACGACCCTCGTGTGTCGTCGCGCGGTCGCGCTGATTGTTGCTTTGATATGCACGCCCGTCGAAATCAACGTTTATTTTTTTCGACCGAGTCTGATCTTTTGCAAGACTCGATAAACTTTCTAAGGACTGATTGAACATGAAAACACGGGATTTCGATACGTATTAATTAATCGGATAAATAATTTCTAGCACATAATTTCATTGCTTTCGAAATGATGTAATTTTCCTGCTGCCTGAGCGTAATAGAAATTCAGTCTTTATTTTATATTCCTTCTTCCAAACCGAATCATAAATTAGAGCACAAAAAGAATATTACATCAGGAAGTTTTTAAATAGCCTTTGTGCGCATGTGTGCGCGCCCGTATCGTATTTCTGTTAATCGTAATAATAATTATCGCGAATACCGTGATTCTCGTATCTGGTGTTAACATCCATGTAACGTTGATTCTTTACGTTATCGGCCGGCATAAGAACCCCGCGCAACCGCATTACGCTTAGCTGATCCTTTAATTAGCATTTCCAGGTCACACACTCGACCGTAGACGCGAATATACGCGCGGGCGCGCATAATTATCGCGCTAATTATTAGTACCTGGCTAAGTACTTGGATGAAATTATCACCGGAGTTGGAGTGACGCGCGGAGAGAACGAAAACGCGGCTTTCGATCTCTCTCGCCAACAGGATTCCCGTGTGACCAGCTTTAGTAGAGTGAGGAACTTCCTTAATTACGGAGATTAACTTAATGGTATCGAACCAACGATTATCGCTCAGAAAGCACGCAATTGCCGCCTGAATATGCGCATGTCGGTGTGTGGAAGCGGATAAATGGATCTCAAGGCTGATCTTAATTTTTCCGCGCTTAATTCTTCCCATCGATCGCGCCGAGTGTGGTCTTCAACATCAAGCCGATGTTAATTTTAACGCGATCAACGATACGCATCGAGGAAAAGGAAGACGAAAAAAAAAAGATTCTACCGGTCGACGGAATTCTCGTGTCGCCTCCGCGGCCTTTTTCGAGATCACGATGCGCGCGCGCGCGATACGCAGAATGCGAAATTAATTAATTTTCATTCCGATATCTATTCCCAAGGTATCTTAACGCGCTTACACGCGTGTGCATGTGGTGTGTGCACGCGCAGGCGCGTCCGTACGCGCGGGGGGATACGATCGTTTATGAGTGTGCGAGCCTACACACGTGCACACCGCAGACCGGGGCGCATTTAGAAGGCCCATCTAATTACTGAGATTAACCTGGGCTTATAATAAGCAGGAGCGAACTCGCGCCTGACACTCACCTGAGGCGATCTGTGACTGATGTATTTGGGACGTCGTCCTGACGTGGGTTTATCTAGCGGCTGTTATTTATCTCCGCCACGGTGCAATTCCGTCGCGGTCGTACCGATCTCGCGATTAGCCGTCTGTCTTGGCTCGGTCTCTCTTTCTCGCTCTCGGCCCCGCTCGTGCTCTCGTTCCCTCTCTCTCCTCTTCTCGTTCCTTCTTTCGATGCCGCGCTTTACACCGACTATATACGACGACTCGCTTCAACTCCCTCCGAGACTCTCCTGTTGCTCCCTCGCTTCGTCTCGCTCGCTCGTTCGCTCACGAGTTTCACGATCTTCCGGTGATTTTCCTACGGTGAATATCAAGCGCAGACCGTCCCGGCAGCAGCGGTGGATCGGTGTTGAAAAGCGGACGATTCACTGATACATCCGCCGCCGGTGACATCAGCCTACTTAATTACAGCGAATAATTGCGAGTAATTAGGAGCGATTAAGAAGCAAACAGTTAATTGGGCGTCGCTCGATAAAGCGCTGCCTGGTCGATGCCGCCTCTTTTCCTCGTGGCCGCGTTGAACGAACGATCGGAAGAAAGCGACTTGTCTTGGACGAGCCCTGCGGGGTGATATCGAGTGGTCGGTGAATCTCGCAGCGATTAACCTCGGCCGGCCCGATCCTCGACAAAGCGAGCGAATCTAACCGGCAGATAACACAGCTTTCCGTGTAATACGGTTTTAATTATTCTATTTGTGCGCGCCAACCGTGCACATTTCGCAGTTCTGCATCAGTTCGTAACGTGTAATTGCGCGATGAAAAACACTGACGTGTCTCTCTCTGTCTCTGCGCGCACAATGGTCACGCGCGTGTTGTAATTACCAGCGCACCCGTCGTGATAATTAGAAGCTTATTAGAGCCGGCGTCCTTGTCTCATCGCTTTCCGTTGTCCGGCGACGACACTCTCGAGGACGCGCGTCTCTCTCTTCCCTCGGATCGATCTCGACACTCACGCGAGGCGGCCGTCGGACTCTTTTTATTCTCGGCCTGCGATTGATTGTGTCCCACCTGTTCGACGATTCAACGTTCCCGCGCACTTACCCCCAATTTGCCGCGAAGGGAATCGACCGTGAGACGCTGGGTTAGACGGAGCGAGAGACTCGGCGGAGAAGGTCGATTTCCCGCCGATTCTTCGACCGAACGTCTCACTGGCTGGCTGTCACAGAGTTCACCGCGCTGAACCGTCCGCGAGGCGCACCGAAAGAAGTCCCACCCCTACGGCCACGTGCTGACAGGCCGGACGAATCGGCGCACGCAGCTGCACGCTTAACTCCCTGATCACTCTCTGGTCCACAAACACTTGCTTTTCACCGATACCGTCGCGAGAGATCCTCTTCGAGGATCTTTCGATCGTTCGCCCTTGAGCCTCTCGTTCGGCCTGAATCTTCCGGTTCCAAGGCTCGTCTCGCTCGTTACCCGCGATCGTGACGGTCGGGAGAGCCGAAATTCCCAAACGCACGCGTCCGTCTCGGAGAAGAAGGCGGGCGGCGGTCCACTTCTCCTCGTGCTGTCGTCGCAGTCGGCAGCGTGGTCGTGCACGTTGCTGCGCGGTTGGAGCTCGACGCGAAAACTCAGACGTGAACCCTGACGGTCCGCAGTCTGGCTGCGTAGTGGCCCCGGCGTACAACCGAGGAAAGACAACCCGCCGTGACGGCTCTCCCGCCTGGTGTGTACTCCGGGCGGAAGGGGTAATATGGGCGGCACTATGGGCGGTACCAATGCGCGGAGGTGGTCCGCGAGTTACTCGCGAGATCCCGTTGTTATGATTGTTATGAGTGTCCGAGCTGCCTCCCGCGATGCACTTTGGGGGTGGTACGCCCGCGAGAGGTACCTCTGTCCGTCTCCCTTTTTCCACCGGGTTCGCATCTCGCTCGCTCTGTAATATAACCACCACGGGCTCGAACGAGCTCGTAACCGTGATGCAAATCAGCCCGACGGGGCTGGTGAGTTCGCCGGCGGGGATGCCCGGGAGGAGCGATCGGCACCGTGGACCGATACGAGACTCCCGGAGAGTCCGCCGCGGGAGGAAAGATGATGATCGGCACATAGGTAGCGGTGTGATTTTAAGGACTGATCGGTGGAATCGAGAGGACCAATGTCGCCGGTGGTTGGATAGTTGAGCGGTAGGAAGGTCGCAGGTGTCGTTGGAGAACGTTTCGTCGGTGACCTCGCGTGTTACTAAGGCTGGTCCGCCGGGTTTGCTTCGGAGACTTACACCGTCCGATAGCTTAACGTTCCACGGTTAAGGATGGAAAGGTGAAGATGATAAAGTCTATGAATACAATCGTCCATTATACGAGATTATTGACTGGGAATGTTGGTCCAATCGGGACAAGGAGTAGCGTTTAGTGCGTTTGACTTCTCGATCAACAGTAAGTGAAGGATTGCGAGCTATGTTTTTCCTTTTTTTTTTCTTTTCCCTTCTGGACGAAAGGGATGCGATGAAAGCGCATCGACGATAGTAACACGTGGCAACCATCTCGTTGGGACACGTCTGGTGTTTTTATCCTATCACGGGAACCAATATGATCTCGACGATGATGTCCGTGTCATTTCGACCGTTGCTCAAGATGGATGGGGATTGTTACGGAATTGCGGCGGAAGCTTAACACGTGACAGGTGCGTACCGCGGCAATGGCAGTCCATTTCTACTTCAATTCCTGTCACGTAATTACGCAGTTTGGGTGACTTTATACCAGCCGAGTAACTCCACTAATGTCATTGGATTCATTCGGGCATTAACTTTTATGGTCAATTACAAGGACGTCGGGACGCGCCATGTTCTCGCGCTTTCAACCCTCCGATGACGTGACCGAAAGGGTACCGCTGGCTATAAGGTCTTAATGACATTTCAACCATATATAGTCTATATATATTCAATATAGGATTTTTGTACGTCACCCCCCCCTCTCCACCGTCCTCGGTGATTTTTTACATCATTGTCTTCTACAAAACGCGCGTTCATCGGGGAATACATTTAATGTGCTCATCAATTCCAATAAATATTTACTAAGATTAGCATATCATAATTAAAACTTAATTAATGAAGAAATAGTTCGTAAAACATATTTTAATGACATTCAAAGATATGATTAATCATCATTTAATATATTATCTTGTCATTAAGTTTTCCTTCTAAATTGTATCCACTGAAGAGTCAATTCTTAATGAGTAATTAACATTTATCGCGATCGCTTTGTTGTAAAATATAATATTGAAAACGAGAAAATTCGGTCAAAATCTTCCGACGATCGTAGCTATCGCAGTTATGCTGCTAATCACGAGGCCGATTCGTCTTCGAGCTTTCGGTATCAAATGCCATAGACGTCAGATCCGTCCTTAACTTCAAATCAGAGAGAGAAATTACCGACATGATTCGATTATAAATCCATTCCGATTCGTACAAAACTGTGGGCGTACGGAGTTACACGCTGCGCGAGTTAGAGAAGGGTGCGTTTATTAAGATAGAATTTTACCCCTTTCCTGCCTACGTGCCGCTCTCGCCGACGCCACTGACACCGTCCGCACCCTCGGTGTTTTAATGTTCTCCCCTCGATTTCTCCGACGTCGACCCCGACCATATTCCGGCGTGATTCGACCCTTAGACACGATTCGAGCGACCCGATGGCCAGTTTAGTTTAAATATCGGCTCGCTTCTTCGGGAAACGTTCCTTCCGTTGCGCCGTAGCTTTTATTTTCGCGCAATTCTGACTACAAATTGATGACGGTTTTAGGAACGTCGGCAGAAAAACCGCGATTAGACTCTAGAAGATCCAATGGCGAGCTCTTCGTCCAATCATCCGGCGAACTGCGCGTCCGACAGGGCACAAACATTCAACAATTTACATATTACGTCGTTGTGGCGTGATAAAGGTTAAATTAGTTTTGCAATTTGAATAGTGTCGGTATAAATAACGCAACTTGTTTATTTTCCTCCATGATTGTTGCACGGACAACCGTTTGCGAGTTTCGTTGAAATCACTGTAAAATTAATGACGACGAATATGGCGCACCAACCGCTGCGCGCAAGACTCGATCGTCGAGGTTAAGCATGTCAGAGTGTAAACTGATCGAATGGGCCAAGTACGAGTGAATGCGAGGAAACGTTTTCCTTCCTTCTATAAATATCGGGTACGCAAGGTCTTAATAAGAACGATCGCGATTAGTACAGCAAAGTCGCATTGTCGCACGGTCAACGTGACTTACCGCGCCTGTCGTTCGTTCATTTTCCCCGACGTGCGAGTACATCGAGCGTCGACGTGGAAGAAGGGAAAGTCTCTTACACGAAATATACGAGGAAATGAATGAATACGGCCATCCTTCTTCCTCCCGAAGGTCCACGTGCTTTTCACATATAACTCGTCCCCGTGGAGGCAGGAGTGTAGCCAGCTGGTGGTTGAAGTTGTAGGAGTCGGCAGGATGTGGGTCTCTACTCTCTCGCCCTGCTCCTTCCATCCCGCTTTCCCACTTTCCCGCAGACGTCTCTCTCTCTCTCTCTCTCTTTCTCTGTCTCCCTCTCTGTCTGTCTCTTTCTCTTTCTCCCGCTCGCGCCGAACCGGCGACACTCGTTCCACTTCCTGCGACGCGTCTCTATCCTTTTCCCCCGCTTCTACCGACGGTCTCCCTCGCTCTTCTTCCTCCACACGCCGCCAACTCATCCCCCACACTAGGGTGTTCCGTCTTTCTCCCCCGTCCCACCGGATCGATTAAAACTACAAAGTGTTGCCTCTCCATCCGTTGGTACGCTCATTCGTGGTCGACTACATTGCTCTGGCACTCTCCTAGCGGCACTGGGTTACCAACTCTTTCCCGGCTCCCTCTCTGTTCCTCCGTCCTCTCTCTCTCTCTCTCTCTCTCCTTTTCGCGCACGCTGTTCCGTTTTTCTCCTTTCAGCTCCACCGCCGTCGCCTCTTTTTTCGTCCTTTTATCGGAGGATCTCCGTATTCATGGGCGTTCGCTTCGCTTCCTGATAATCCCCGCGTAAAACTTCTCCGTCCCGCCGGGATTGCCCTTGCAGAGCGCGCGCTGCCTTTCCCCATTTCGTTCGCGCGAGGGACACCGTTTGCGCTCGCACCCGCCACTTCTCACCTCCAAGTTTTCCTTTCACGGATGTGGGACGCACAATGGGCTTCTTTGCATTCGTTTGCCGCTAATCGACGTGCCGGTGAATGTCTTCGCGAAAATACCACCCGGACGATTGATTTCGTGAGATCGAGTCTTCGCGCTTCTTTAAATTCGGCCGCTCTCTATACGTTCGTCGCTTCGATAATCGTGACGTTAGAAGTCTTCAGAAATCAGCTTGTAAATACGGCTCTGCTGCTTTCCGCCAGTCGATATCATTAGCGGTTCGATCTTCGGCGATATATTTTCGGCCGAGAGTGGTCGCAACATAGAAGTAAAACTCGTAGTAGCCAGTCGGGAAGATTAGTGGGATCTTCTTCTTGGGTGAAAGGTAAAGCGCGATTATATCCCCGGGGCCCCGGCGGTATCCCTCTCGGGGCCTTGCTCGCTTTAAGTCGCAGCAACGTGGCTAATAACAGAGCCAGTGGAAGCCAAGCGGTCTTTACGACCATCTTCCCAGAAGTATAAACCCTGAACCCTCTCCGCTGTCCGTCCAACTACGTCCCACCTCTCTCTCTCTCTCTCTCTCGGAACATCGTACGGGCCCGCGAAATTTTGCAAGGGCTAATTAATGCGAAAGGCCCCGACAACAAAGTTGCTCGCGTGATCGCTCTCTTAAGTATCGCTACGGCCCGGGTTCCGTGTTGGACAACACGAAGAGAAGCGACTGATCCGAGAGAATGAAGACGAGTGAGAATAGAGGCGCCAGGAGAGGAGCGGAGGAAATAATGATCCTTGGCGACGATCGAAGCGAATGGTTATGAATATTGTCACGAATATATGTAAAATTCTCGCATGCTCCTCAACTTTCTTTATGCGCGCGCCGGATGCAGTATGAGCCGCAAGACGAAGACAAGCGGCCAGGGGGTGGGGGAGGAGAGGGGAAGAACGAAGTATCGTGCTTCTGGCGGAAGAAACTTCTCTTCGCGTGACCACGTAATGAATGGCGGGAGATTATTCCAAAATTGTTTTCTTATGTCGCCTTCAACTGCGCGAGAAGAAGCGATAGCAGGTGTTCGACGAAGATAATGCTCGGAGATGAGCGCCGTGTACAGGGGCGGGCATTTCGGGCGCAGCTATCCAAAGGAACATCTCTTTGTGATCGTTTCCCCACTGACCGATAATTTCGCACCTCATTGTTGTATAATAACCGTATAGCAACACTGTGGTATCCTTTCGATACCCACTTCCGATCAAGCGACTTTTCACACCGCAGCAGCAGAGGACGATTTCACGAGGCACGAACTTCGGTGGGACGCGTCTCCTCGCTCTGTGCAACTCGAGCGTTCCTTTCACGCTTCGCCGTGCTTCCTTTTTGCGACGCCGTTGAATTACCCGGCTGGCGCGTGATAGAGCATGTATCTGCGAGAAATTTTCGGCTTATGACTTTTTTTTCCACCACGGTTGAGATTCGTGCGGGATGACCTTCTCTACCTCGACCGGGCTGAGTTACTACCGGCACACGAATGATCGGC